ATCCCTTGTGCCAGGGGGGAGCTTCAAAAATGTTAGCAAAGAGTTCGTTGCCCAGTGGTTGGGTGGGCGTGGCCAGGGTGGGGCGTGGCCTAGTCAGCCTCCTGCACCATGGCGGGGGGGGGGAGAGGGGTGTTTTTGACCTCACCAGGCTCCAGAGGCTTTCCCCGAGCCTCTGGGAAGGTGAAAACGGCCTCCCCAGGCTCCGGAGGCTCTCTGGAAGTTGGAAACGGGCCCATTTCCAGCCTGCCTGAACTTCCGGGAGGCCCGTTTTTTGCCCTCCCCGAGCCTCTGTGTGCGCCGTGCACTTACCTGCATCCAAAACGGGCCACATGGGGACTCCTGGGAGGGGAGGGGAGGGGTGGGCAGGGCCAGCCAGGAGTGGGATTTGGGAGTTTTCCGAACTGCACAGAAGCTTAGCTAGGGACTCTCCCAAACCCCTGCGAACCCCCAGCATCTCACCCCTGCCTTGTGCCCAGTATATACAGAGTCAGAAGACTGAACCCTGGACATTCTCCTCTGCCCCCGTGTTTGGAGGGCTTCTCCAGTCAAAGGCCGCTGATACTTAAGGAAGGGGGAAGATGCATTTTTGCTGATTCACCTTTCGTGCCCCAGACTTGCTTTAGCTGCCTGAGTCCTATTAGCCAGCCGCAGGCAACTGAAAACAAGCCCAGGACAAGTAGGTATATGACTACAGAGCAGTCGTGATCAGTTTGGATTCTTGCTTCCCGAAGCTTCCTGCAAGGTCTCTGAAGAAATGCTGTCCTGAGCCAGTAATGGAAATGGCTATTAAAGGCCTTCTGCACCTGGGTGAGCAGCTTGATTGGCAGAACAGGCGGTCAATGCATCCTCAAGATCTGCTTGGAGCCCAGGAAATCCCACCTGCTCTCCTAGAGAGGTGCAGAATTCTAGATCCAAGCAAAACATGGTTGATACAAAGAATGCTGAGAGCAACATCTGGATTCTCCCTTCTCTGCCTTTAGTTCCAAGGCAGACACTTTGAAGGGGATCTCAAAATTGGTGAACAATCATCTCTGCTCTTTTTGAGCTCTCTGTTTGAACTCTGCCCATGCACAGGTTATGAAGGGAGGTTTGGAACAAACCATTTTCATTAACTAGGGAATAGGGAAGATGGTTAAAAAAAAGAGGTTAGGGATAAATATTTACTACCATCGCCTGCTTAGATGTTGTGAACAAACATCTCTCAAGATGACATTTGAAGCCCCCAAAGCCAAATCAATTGTATATCACTTTGAACAATTGGATTTTGCTTCTGCTGGTTGTATGGAAAGCTAAAGAGTCTCTGTCACAGGGAATCCTCCTTGGTGCTCCACTTCATTTTTGATATTTTCTACCCTAAACCAAGTGCTGGGTATCTCTGGCAAAAGCCTGGAAATGAACTGAATTGCAGAAAGAGCCCTGGGACATGTAAGACGCTTGTAGTCAAAGAAAACACTTCTAAAATCTTGACAAACTGAGGTCACTTTGCTTTGCCCCAAAACCCCATTAGGACTGCAGCTGGGAGTGATTTGGGGACGGGGGGGGGAGTGAGGTAGAGAGGCAAGATAAATTCCAGCTTCCAGAAATGAGGCACTGGGAGGCAGGAAGCTGATTTTAGCCCATCCTGACACAGGCAAGATAAATAACACAGCTTATGAACTTTTTTTTTCTGTTGAGACCTAGAAAACCATAATCTGTGGCTCTCTCCCACATGGAAGTGTAACTAGCACTTCATCTCTATGTACAGATCAAAAATGAAAGATTAAACCACTTTGGCTGTAAGAACAGCCCAGTTTGCCTTAGTTGAAAGAGCTTTTGCTCTCAGCTGACCTGCCCTTTCTCACCAGAATAAAGCAATCTTGTACACCTGCACTACTCCAGGAAGTTTCCTCTCCCCTTGAAGCAAGAAATATAGTGGCTCCTTCTGAAACTCCTGTTCCCTTCTCTCACGCATCAAGCATTGGAGCATATGCCCATAGCACAATCCACCGCATTCTTTGTTTCTACTTACCATCAGGGCTGCTGAGGACAGAAGCTGACGTGGCCCTGGCTGAGAAAGCTGCAGGTTTGCTACCTGTTTGGGAAGGGAAGGGAAGGTAGACCACAAAGCTCTGGATAGGAGGCTGGAGGTGTGGAGGAATGTTTGTGCAAGGGGAGAGGCCTGCAGCCAGCACTTCCTTATTGGAGACTGCAAAGGAACAGCCTCAAAATAGATCGTTTGTGCCAAACAATACAGAGGAGGAGGAAGCAGCCATCTGTTTTGGTTTCAGAGGCTGTGTGACAAATGAAAAGAGCCTAGCTGAGCCAGACCCCATTATCACAGTGCCAGCAAGTTAGCTGAACTACCGTCAATGGCTCATTGGTAATAATGGCAGAGAGGCTTCTCAGAATAGTTATTCGATAACATTTTCCTTTAAAAAGTGTGCACACACACCCCACACGCACACACAAACACACTATGGCTAAGCTTCTGTAAGTCTTGTGTCATTTACAGGATGTCAGAACTGGTCACCCCTTTGCAGACCAATCACTTTGCATACAGCAAGATAAATCCACGCACTAAGTTTAGCATCTTTGCAAACCTAGTGATTGTCTTTGGAATGGTAGTGATAACCAATGAAGAAAACAGAACATAGGCGGCCTTGAGCAACTTTATTGTAAATTTCTTTACAATTTTGTCCACATAGCTAATCTAAGATCTCAGATCCTCTGGGTTGTATAATGTTGGTGCTTATTAGCTTTTCAGGGTGGGATGGCCAGCTATTACTCTTTGTTTGGGATGTCTGTATTTATGGCTGAATTTGTAACTTGAAGGCTACCTCTCCGAGAATCAAATAATAAGAAAAGCTGTAGCCTTCTGTGCCATAGTTTTAATGATGGGTTTTCATTCCAGTCATGGCTCTGAGGTTGTCAGGAGTTGCTTCTGCATCCTCACATTACATCTATGGTGCAAAATGCAGTTACACGACTCCTTCTCTTCTGGTTTGCCTTGGAAGCATCAACCTGCATTCGGGTCCCACTGGATTTCTGTCAGATAGTGGCAGATGGGCTCACTCTATGGCAATACAAGTGTTGTGTGCTGCCCTGAGTCACTTTCATGTGAGATGACTAGTTATACAGGTACAATAAATAAATAAATAAATAAATAAATAAATAAATAAATAAATAAATAAATACCATCCACCAAGATGAATTGGACAGAGCTAGCAACAAAGCCTGCTTCTACTCAGACAATGTTCTACTTGCAGATCATGAAACTGACACAAAACAAAACAAAACCCAACAACAATCTCAGGTAGATAGGTATTTAAAGTGGGACATTGCAATAGACTTAAGCAGAGAGGGGAATTTTTGTTACAAAGTCGGTCCATTGTTAGAAAGTTGAACTATTGGATTGCAGGGGCTGCTTACATGTTATGCTTGGTGTGTGTATGTATGTGTTGGGTGTGACAGGGCAAGGGGGGGCAGGGATTAAGAGCGTTTCCTGGCTCTATTCCAGCCTGTTTGCATGTTCTTCCTCTACTGAGGGTAGAGAGGCTCATTACAAATTTGTCCAGTCCCGGATATCTAGACGGATGTAAACACGTAGCTGAACCTGAGAGGTGGAGCCAACCAGGGCTACCGTTGGGGAAGGTATGCTTCTGTGTGCAGGACTCACTTACGTAGTTTGCCAAGCCACACAGAAAGAGGAATGATTTTCAAATGCCTCTCCTAGCAAAAGCAAAGCTTTCCCATTGGTGACAGCACCTGAGCTACTGTTCTCTCCCCCTGTCGAACAGCATGCTCCAAACTCTGTGGGCTGACATAAGTGACATGTTGTAGGAAAGGGCCTGTGTGAACCCATTTCTTGAAATCAAACAGCACACCAGAGTGACCAAAAGAAAAAAGACTTTTTCTTTCAACAGTTGCCACTTAAAAGCAAATCATTGACTGAGAAATGCAGCCAATCGGTTCCGTCTTCAGAGAAATGAAAAATGAAGAGTATGCTTTTTGTATTATCGTATTCCTTGTTATTATCGCAGATCTGGGAACAGCACTAAGATCTTCCAATTCAGAAAGAGACTATGACTGGTGTACATTTGGTTCACACCTTTACCACACTTCCACCCACCCCAGGAAGCCCATTGGGGCTCTAAGGAGTCTGGATCTGCAGAGATCTTGGGCTGTCTAGCTAGCTACTGATGCCCAGTGATACAAGTACAAGTAAGTCAGCATGGTTTCATCGCAGTCTTAAACTTTTCCAAAAGGTTACTGTTTTTACAGCTGACCCAGTATTTTTAGAAGCAAAAACCTTTATCTGCTGATCCTGCACATCTAACAACTATTCAACCTAGTCAGTTTAGGACACACTGGTGCCCGCTTAGTTTTAAAGTTGGTAACCTTACCCCAAACTGGGCAAATCAACCCTTGAACATTTTAACAGTTTGGAAGGAGGCTACTCAGTAAACATCATTTGCCAGTCAATGTTGCTAATAGGGCTCTTCAAACAATGTTATAGTTGAAAGATGAGGTTTTTGACCAAAGTTTATGCGATAATAAATCCATCTTCAAATTGCCAAAGAAACCATTTGCTTTTTGTATTTGTATGTGCAACAAAGATTTCATATGATTAACTCTTTTGGAAATAATTGCTTTCAGTTCAGCTTCTTGCTAAGTGTTGTTTGTGCATTGTGGTCCTGATCATGAGCCAATCTCAAAATAATGTGTTAACATGTATTGACTCCATCCCACCCCCCTTTTTTTTTGTAGGAGAAGGAAAGCAGGTAGAATCCATTTTACAAAAATACATATTCTGGCATCTTCTTTCTATTGCAAAGGGCTTCCTTCTTCAACCAATCCTTCCAGGATTTGCTAACCAAATAGGATTCTCAATTATTTATTATTTTCAACTTTCCACAGTGACTGGGCCCTCATCAGCAATCTGAGGCATGAATTCTAACAACTCCAAGAATCACGGCACAAAGTTTTCATCGACAGATGGACAAAATGAAAAAGGAGTTTGGTAAATGCCTTTATTAGCTACTGGGTGCAGGTCTACTACGTGGCCAAAGTGAAGGTGAGGGTTGCACAGGAAATATAATACTACTGTTTCTGCTGCTAAGACCTGGCTCAATGCTGGATACGGCGGATGGACTGGATCTGGCTGCTATGGGCTTGGCTGCTATAGTCAGTGTACTTCCGATATTCACCATTCTGTCGGTCCCGTTCCAGGATATATTGGTAGCCTCGGTAGCCTGGATATTGATATGCCACCCACCTAGGAGGATAAAACAGAACATAGGGATGATAGGCAATCTGGCACATGTTCCTTCATTGGAAAGGGAACAGCACATCTTTTCCTAAGCTGGTGTTTTGGGAATGTATTGATACTGCAACACCTAAACTATATTGGTTGCAAAGGCTAAGTGATATAGTCCCAATGTATCTGAAATGTGGGTAGGTTGGAGTAGCAGAGCATTTCAATGGCTTTTAGTCCTTTGGATCCCAACTTGTCCAGTCCTTGGACTGGATAACCAGCCCCAAGGGAGATGTACCATAAAAATGACTGAGAGTAAGGAAATCAGACACTGTAGTAATTGTTGCTGTTTTGAAATGCAGAAATCAATTTTGGAAAATCTATCAGTTGTGTCTGTGGATCTGTTGTGTTCATATTTTAATAAGATGGAGCAGTACTGTAGATTTTTATACAGTCCTTTAAAAAGCCACCAAACAAAATTTGACACAAGAAATGAAACTTCCTTGTAACTCCTAACTTAGGTCTCTTGAAAAAAGTTGGCTTGCTGGGTTCACACAGCCATTGCTTGTTATAATTGTGGTTTGTTAAATAAGACATTATGGGAATGCTCAGTCAGAAACCATAATATACCGACTTCAGTAACCAATTTAATATGCTCATCTAAAGCCAAATAACTCCCATATGGCTTAATACAATGTGTGATCAGAAACAGAAGAAGCCTCTGTTTCCAGTCCATATCTGATTATGGAATTTAAAACTATGGAGAAAAGTGACCAGCAAACTCTCTGCTGGAAAAATATAAGGTCACTGTCTATTATGAGGATCTTCAAATCTACAGTGATCATTGTGCAGCAGCATCATAGCTTTTTTGGTTATGAGTACAGTAGCCCAATACATATACAGAAGATACCAGAACTGTAGGACGGATGGTCTTATTAAATCAAGGTAATTACTCAACAGATGCTCTCTGATATTTATTACCTTGAACCAAAAATTGCACCAAGAGAAACAGAAGGCATCACTTACGCTCCAGAGAGAACTTTGATGGAGGCTACTTCCTTGCTGCACCATCCCATGGCTTGCAATGATGGATAATCATCAGTCAGCTCAAACTTGATACCTTGGAAGTTCTCTGACTCATACAGAGTCACTCTGCTGTCATTATGATTCTGCAACATAGCATGAAGATGTCTCAGAGGAGGAAGAAACACAAGCAAAAGAGATCACAATGACTTTTCCAAGTCTTAGGCTTCTTTCCCCCTTCTTGTACTTTTAGATATTTTTGGAATGCCTCTCCAACGAGGCATGTCGGTAGCTCCCAGATCTTTTTCCATCTTTCCTCGAGATTGATTGTTTCAACATAGGGCAACACGGTTCATGCTTATTGCTTTGACTTTGTCCTGGCTCTCCGCTTCCTAATATGTCCTTCAGCATGTTGGGATCTAGAGTTCCCAGTAAGAAGCCTCAACGACTATACTGGCTGACAGTTACTGTCCTAGAACACATCTGGGAAAAGCAGGGTTGGAGAAGGCCATATCCTTACTTTGAGACTTGCCCCTTATTTTAAAGCTTTCTGCCTCCTATGTCAAACAGTGCACTATCAATTGCTTTGCTGGGTCAGAACCCATTGTGAGGCTTATCTAACCTGCCAGATGCTTTCAGGGGTTCATAACTTAAGTGGACAATGGTGGTGGTGATTGTTATTCTCATTCCACAACATTTAAAACTAAAACCAAGCTAAAACCAAATAAATCACATTATGGTTTAGTAGTGGGATTATAAACCCTGTCAATATTGGGAGCAGAGGAAATAAAATTCCTTGGAGATAAACAATTGCATCAGCTACCCCATGACTTTCTTTATTCTTTCTTTTCGTCTTTGTTTCCTCCTCCCCTCTTCTTCTATTAATCCTCTTTTATTTTCTCCATCTATTTCAGTGGCCCTCTAATAGCTAGATATTGCAGAATTAATGAAAAGGAAGATAAGGGCTTCTGCGAATTGTAGTTTAGACTGTGTATGCATAATGCGCTATGCCCAAGATGTGAATCCCTAGCAAATTAACTCACAGTTCATTTACTACATTTATCCATCATCTTATTAATCTTCTGGACTTATGCGATTCATTGTACCCAAAATGATCCATAGAGACCAGGATCAGACAACATACTAGAGTAAAATTGACTAATATATGGGGACTGTTTATTTTTGCCTTCTAAATTAAGGTCATCGACTCTCATGTAGCTTAACTCTGCCTTGTCCTTGTGTTAAACTTGTGTTTTATAACCAGATAATCCTCATCTTACAACCATTCACTTAGCAAACCATGAGAAGTTACAATGGCACTGAAGAAGGTGACTTATGGCCGGTCCTCACACTTACAACCATCATAGCATCCCCCACACTCTCACGATCAAAATTTAAGCGCTTGGCCATCAGCCTGTATTTACAATAGTTGTGGTCAATCTGTGACCTTCCCAGCCAGCTTCTGACAAGCAAAGTCAATGAGGGAAGCCAGATTCAGTTAACAACACGATTCACTTAACAACAGCAGTGATTTGCTTAACGAACATGGCGAAAAAGGTCGTAAAATCGGGTGGCAACTCACTCGATAACAGACTTGCTTAGGCATGGAAATTCTGATACCCCCATTGTGGACATAAGTCAAGGACAACCTGAATTCTCTCCAAACAGCTACTGTGAATTTCTGTCAATTATTGTGAGTGTACGGGCAGGGAAACATCCGATAAACTACTTCTCAGGAAAATAATAATAATAATAATAATAATAATAATAATAATAATAATAATAATAA